GAAAGGATTATCGTGCTGGGCCGGGACAAGAGCGCAGTTTGGTGTGGGCACGCAAGCCGCAGTGAACCTGGAGCAGGCCTCAGAGGACTGAATTGCGGGCAGCTGTGGCGGTTTCCAGACCTCTCAACCCACAAATGCCAAAGACAACTTAGATGGTCAGTGGGAAAAGTCTATGGTGAAAAGACTGTGGTGAGAGAGAGAAGCTAGGTCAGGGGCGGCAGCTGCCTTCTGGCCCACAGACTGAGGGGGATTTGAGTGGCTGATCAGAAAGGGATTGCAGAGATCTCTCTGCCAGTGCTGAGGCAGGAATCTCTTGCTTTGCCTGGGCTTGGATCTGGGTCACAGTTCTGAGGGGCGGTCATAGGGTGAGGAGGAGCATTGGCATGTGGGAGCTTGTTGTGGTGGTGGAGAGGAAACACCTCGCCCCTTATCATAGCACCTTGGAAGAACTGACACTTTTCAGGTCCCTAGAAGTATCTCTGAAAATAGCTGTACAAACCCCCGAATCTTGGAACAGTACATTCTCCACATTGGAAGCAGACTCTTACCTTAACAAAGAGTTTAAAACTCAAGTAATTGGTTGGGATCATGAGGAAGCAGCGCAAAAAGAGTCAGACTATATTATCTTACTTCGGTGACAAAGAAGATCAAAACATACAACCAAATGAAGAAAACAAAGTGAAGGCTCCTACATCCAAAGCCTCCGAGAAAAATATGAATCAGTCCCAGATCTTGGAAGAGCTCAAAAGGGATTTTGAGAAGCAAGTAAGAGAAGTAGAGGAAAAACTGGGAAGAGAAATGAGAGTGATGCAAGAAAATCATGAAAAACAAGTTAACAGCTTGCTAAAGGAGACCCAAAAAAATACTGAAGCAAATAACATCTTAAAAAATAGCCTAACTCAAATGGCAAAAGAGGTCCAAAAAGCCAATGAGGAGAAGAATGCCCTCAAAAGCAAAATTGGCCAAATGGAAAAGGAAGTCCAAAAGATTACTGAAGAAAATACTTCCATAAAAACTAGAATAGAGCAATTGGAAGCTAATGACTTTATGAGAAATCAAGACACTGTAAAACAAATCCAAAAGAATGAAAAATTAGAAAACAATGTGAAATATCTCATTGGAAAAACAATTGACCTGGAAAAATAGATCCAGGAGAGAGAATTTAAAAATTATTGGACTATCTGAAAGCCATGATCAAAAAGAAGAGCCTAGACATCATCTTTCAAGAAATGATCAAGGAAAACTGCCCTGATATTTTAGGACCAGAGGGCAAAATAGAAATTGAAAGATCCACTGATCTCCTCCTGAAAGAGATCCCCAAAGGAAAACTCCTAGGAATATTGTAGTCAAATTCCAGAGTTCCCAGGTCAAGGAGAAAATATTACAAGCAGCCAGAAAGAAACAATTCAAGTATTGTGGAAACACAATCAGAATAACACAAGATTTAGCAGCTTCTACATTAAGGGACCACAGGGCATGGAATATAATATTCCACAGGGCAAAGGAGATAGGATTACAACCAAGAATCACCTACCTAGCAAAACTAAGTATAATCCTTCAGGGGAAAAAAATGGTCATTCAGTGAAATACAGGACTTTCAAGCATTGTTGATGAAAAAACCAGAGCTGAATAGAAAATTTGACTTTCCAATACAAGACGCAAGTGGAACACGAAGAGGTAAACAGGAAAGAGAAATCATAAGAGACTTACTAAGGTTGAACTGTTTACATTTCTGCATGGAAAAATGATATTTGTGACTCATGAGACCTTTGTCAATATTAGAGTAGTTGGAGAGAAAAAATTATATGTATGTATATTTGTATATATATGTATATATACATACATATATCGATAGATAGAGGGCACAGGGTGAGTTGAAGATGAAGGGATCACATCTGGAGAATAAAATTAAGGAGTGAGAGAGGATTATACTAGGAGAAGGAGAAAAGGAGAGGTACAATGGGGTAAATTATCTCACAAAAAAACAGAAAAGAAAAGGCTCTTACAGTGGAGGGGAACTGGGGGAAGGTGAGAGGGAATGAGTGAATCTTATTCTCAAAAGATTTGAGTTAAGGAGGGAATAACATACACACTCAACTGGGTATGGAAATCTGTCTTACCTTACAGGAAAATAGGAGGGGAAGGGGACAAGAGAGTAGGGGGATGATAGAGAGGAGGGCAGATTGGGAAAGGGGGTAATCAGAAGCAAATACTTCTGAGGAGGGACAGGGTCAAAAGAAAGAATAGAATAAATGGGGGGGGCAGGATAGGATTAAGGGAAATAGAGTTAGTTTTTCAAAGCATGTCTACTATGGAAGTATTTTGCATAACTGTGCATGTATAGCCTATATTGAGTTGCTTACCTTTTCAATGAGGGTGGGTGGGGAGAGAGGAAGGGAGAAAATTTGGAACCCAAAGTTTTAAAAACACGTGTTTAAAAAAATGTTTTCACATGCAACTGGGAAATAAGAAATACAGGAAATGGGGTACATAAATCTATCCTGCCCTACCAGAAAATAGAAGGAGAAGGGGATAAGAGAAGGAGGGAGAGATAGAAGGGAAGGCAGAGTAGGGGAAAGGGTATTCGGAATGCATGCCATCTTGAGGTGGGGGGAGGGGCAAGATGAGGTGAAAATTTGGAACTCAAAATCTTGTGGAAGTAAATGTTGAAAACTAAAAATAAATAAATTTATTAATTGAAAAAAAAGAAAAGAAAAAAAGGAAAAAAAAGGAAATGAGTAGGATTGCTATAGTCAGGGAGAAGGATGCCAAGTACAAAAATCAATTCCTTGCATGGGTAGACTAGTTTGACTCAAATAGAACAGACTATTAAGTCCAGTACTAGAGAGGTGATAGTACTGCTGGACCCTACTCTGGTCACAGCCAAATAAAGCATTGCGTTCAGTTCTGGGTGCCATATTTTAGGAAGGACATTGAAGTGCTAGAGAGAGTGCAGAGGAGTCAGGCAGGTTGGTAAATGGCAGTAATGTCGTATCATATAAAGATTAGTTGAAGGAAATGGGGGCGTTTGACCTGAAGAAGAAAAGACTTGTAGGGGGAGTGGGATATGTTATTTCTTGATGTATCTGAAGGGCTGTTCTTTGGAATCGGACCTAGACTTGTTCTATTTGGTTGAAGAGGACAGAATTAGGAGAAATGAGTCAAAATTGCAAAGTGGCAAAGTGAGCCATAATGCATTGACAAACTCCCCCATAATTAAAGCTATCCACAAAGAGAAGGAGCTACCTTTGGAGGGAGTAGCTCTTCCCTTTCTGGAAAGCCTCAAGCAAAAATACTTTTGGGGGAAATTGTCACAGGGATCCTCAATCAGGGAAAGTTGGCTGTTTAGGTTCCTTCTGAGACTGTGAGTCTGTTAATAGAGTACTTAATTTGAAGCCAGAGGACTGGGTTTGTGGTCTCATTCTGCTATTAAGCTGTATGACCTTGAGACTTTACTTAACCCTAATAACTGTATGATTTTGACACTTCACCCTGGTGTGCCTCCTTTTCCTCATCTACAAAGGTTAGAATAGATGATCTCTAAGGTTTCTCAGAACTTTCAATCCCATAGTCTCAATGAATGCCAAGCAGGGAGGAGCTAAATAGATATAGCTATAGGGTCTAGGAGTCTGGAGCAAAAAACTCATAGATACTAGGATAGTAATTTCTAGTTAATCATGCTTTGAGTCTGCACACCTCAAAAAACTGAGATCACTGAGATTTTCAAACATTAACTTAAAAAAAAGTTCTTGAAAAAGAGAGCTGTCTCCACACTGCCCACCTTGTAATCTGCAAAAAGGAAATGCCAGATGTAAATAATCCAAGGTGAAAATAATGTCATTTCACTACTTCTACAGAAAGAAATTATTTCAATTTCACTCCTCCCTCTAAGAATGTTTCCTGTTGCCCAAGGCCACCTACCCCACAGATATTGGCAAGCATTTTGTAAACCTTACAGCCCTCTAGGAATGAGTTTCTATGGAAACAAGCTGTTATATTACTTTCACAAGTTTTATTCCAAATTTTTATTTTTATGCACTAAAATAAGAAGTATGAGAGGCTCTATGGAATAGTGGATAAAAAGCCAGACTTGGAATTAAGTAGACCTGGGTTCAAGTACCACCCTAACACATACTGGCTAAGTCACTTACTCAGTATTCTGGGTAACTGTCTTGACTATAAATTACAGAGAAAAGTTCTGAGATGCATTGGTAGAAAAGGGAAGGGGTAAGTTCTCACATTGAGGTGCTTTTTACACCAATGAAATCCCAAATCTAATCCCTGTGATGAGAATTGTCTCCTTCTGATGAATCATTTAAAACATAAAGTAAAATGCCAAATTCATTGGATTTCATCCTCTTTCCACTGAGAAATTTCACTTTCCATTTCAAATTTTCTCATCAAACAAAGTGCAAGATTTGTCAGCCAATCAGTCAATAAACATTTATTAAGGGCTACTACTTGCCAAGTATACTGTACTAACCCCTGGGGATTTGATTTCAGAGGGCCTGGTTTTGAATCTCTGCCTTTGCTACCTGTGTATCATTAAACAAGTCTCTTCACTTTTCTCCACCTCTGTTTGCTCATCAGTAAAAAGAAGGGTCAATCTAGATGACCTCCAAAGTTCTGCCCGGCTCTTGATCTGTGGGGTATTTGTTCTGACAGTTCACATCCTGAGATATGAGAAGGGATAGAGGGTAGGAACTATTCAGCCTTTCCAACAGACCTTTCTGTCCTGTAGATTTTAGTCATCACTTTTGTTTCCTTTAATCAAGGCATGTGGTATTCCAGAATTTCCAGAATTATTATTATTATTATTTTCCATTTTCATCTGAGTTCAGTTCTTTTCTGTGTGTTTGCAAGTCAGTCCATAAATTACATGCCTGCTACTCAATTGTGCACTATTTCCCATTAAGGAGAACAGCACAACCTTAAATTAAAATCGCTTCAAACACAATTGGTTTCTGGGCTCTTTGTCACATGCTCTGTGCAGGACTTACCTTGCCATCATGCCAGACGCTTTCATTTCCCTCTGGATCCACATGATCCGTCTCCAAGGTGAGGTAGACCAATCTCCGTTTCAGCCCCTTTTCTTTCATCTGTTTCAGTGCTTGCTTTCCTATGAATTCTGCTGGCTGCAAGAACACCAGATAATGATGATAAATGATTGTTCGGGCACTGTGACAAGGTTATCGATGCAAGCATTTAAATTTGTCTTTATGATTTTCTCACCAATTAAACATTAAATAAAAATACAGATTAAATCAAAGGACTGAGCAAATATTTCTCAGTCTTAAAATGACATTATCAGCTACTTCTCCCTCTCAAGAACTGTTAAATTTAAGTCTAGTAATTTGTAGTGACAATTTTGCCAGCACTACAGAGAACAGGAAAACATAAGTCATTGTCTTGTGCTTGTAAGGTACTATGGTGACCCTTATGCCTAAGTATTCCAGCTTGCAGAGCTGGACATTTTTGCTTAAGTTGCATCTCATTTCCCATGTGTACTAAGTAGATCAGTAAGAATTCACTTCTTAAAAGAATTCATGAATAAATTGATTTAAATAAGCTACTTTGAAAAAATGGTCCCTAATGATTTCTTCTATAGTGTTAATATACAAATCGTCACTGTAATATTTAAGATGTAATCAGAGCCTACAGAGGGAAATAAGAAGTTAGAGATGACTTTCTTGTATGAAAAGCTCTCAAAAAGAGGCAGTGTAGTATAAAAGAAAGTGTTTGGCATGGCTCAGAATGAAAGCTATAAGAAGATACTTCTACTTCATTTCTTTGCAGAGGTGGTAAGCCCACGGAGTGTTGTTCATAGCATGTATCTTCAGACTTTTTTGATGTATTGATCAGTTATGCTGATTTTTCCTTTTTTATCTTTAAAATATTATTTTTGTATAATATGGCTCTCTAGGAGAAGAAAGGGAGTGATATTGGGGGAAATTATGATAATGTAAGGAAATCAAAATACATCAGTAAAAACTTAATTTCCAAAGAAGAAAGTGCTTTGGAATCAGAAGAACTGGATTAAAATATCAGTTCTGTGATTTACTTGACTTACATGGCTTTGAAGAGTCAATACATCAAAAAAGTCTGAAGATCCATGCTATATACAGCACTTTGTATACAACATCCCATCTTCTAAGGCAGGGGTTCTTAACTTTTTACTATTTATATATGTATATATATATATATATGTATACACATATATATATATTTCAATAGAACTGATTTATTTTGCTATTCTGTGCAATTTATTTGGGGCATCTAAAAGCATTATTTTAATTAAAAATTAGAATTAAGTAAGTGGAAGCTAATGACTACATGAGGCATCAAGAAACAATGAAACAAAATCAAACAAATGAAAAAATAGAAGAAAATATGAAATATCTCATTGGGAAAACAACTGACTTGGAAAACAGATCCAGGAGAGATAATTTAAGAATTACTGGACTACCTGAAAGCCATGACCAAAAAAAGAGCCTAGACATCATATTTCAAGAAATTATTAAGGAAAACTGCCCTAAGGTCCTAGAACCAGAGGGTAAAATAGTCTTTGAAAGAATTCACCAATCACCTCCTGAAAGAGACCCAAAAATGAAAATTCCCGGGAATATTAAAGTCAAATTCCAGAGCTCCCAGGTCAAGGAGAAAACACTACAAGCAACCAAAAAGAAACAATTCAGATATCATAGAGCCACAGTTAGGATAACACAAGATTTAGCAGCTTCTACATTAAAGAATCAGAAAGCTTGGAATATAATATTCTGGAGGGCAAAGGAGCTAGGATTACAACAAAGAATCACCTACCCAGCAAAACTGAGTATAATCCAAAAAAATGGATATTTAATGAAATAGAGGACTTTCAAACAGTCCTGATGAAAAGCCCAGACCTGAACAGAAAACTGGATTTTCAAATGTAAGACTCTAGAGAAGCATAAAAAGATAATTAGGAAAGAGAAATTGTAAAGGATTCAATAAGATTAAACTGTTTACATTCCTACATGGGAAGATAATACCAGACTACCAAATGGGCCTATAATACAAAAAAGGCTAAGAACCCCAATATTAAGGAATAATACCTTAAATCCTTATCAATTTGTATTTAATCAAGAATTAATAAGCACCTATGTGAGAACAACGCCCACTGCTCCGGGATGTGGGCAAGATGGAAAAAGGGAGGAATAGTTTGGGGGTAGGGTTAAATAAGAAATTGGAGAAGTTGGTGCATATAATATCCACTTAAAATTTGCCTGCTTTATGATATTACCAGAGATAGCCCTAAATGATAATATAAGGCATCAACTAATCATCATGGAAAAATTGACCTTGACCTCTCCTTAAAGCTCTGCATGCTTACCTTTCCTTAGCTGCCTACAGGATATACTCCAGTTGGATCCCCTCTGATCTATCTCCTCGGCTTCAAGCTTTACCTGTCTAAAACTGAGCTCATATTTACCCTTAAACTTTGTCCTTCTTTTGACTTCCCTATCCATGAGTAGGTGCTTTGTGACTCCTTATCCACTCAGAACAATATCACATGAGTCCCTACTGATATTCTTGTTGTTGTTCAGTCATTTTTCAGTCATATCTGACTCTTCCTGACTCCATTTGGGGTTTTCTTGGCAAAGGTACTGGAGTGGTTTGCCATTTCCTTCTCCAGCTTATTTTACAGATGAGGCAGTCCTGCACAACATATGGCCCACAGGCCACTTGAGGTCCATCAAAGGATTTTGGGTGGCCCGTGAAAAATGTAGGGTTGCTACTGCATACTCTCCTGTTTGTCATGTCTGTCTCTAGTCTAACCTATCTGTGGCTCAAATAAGTTTAGCCTATTTTAATTTTGGCCCCTACCTACTGCCAAGTTATGCAGGTCTGGACGAGGAAACACAACCATCGATCTCCCAGGATTGAAATCTTGGTATCTCCTCCCATAGTATCTTTTGAATTTCTCTTTCCACTGTATTCCCACTTTCACCATCATATGACAAGTCCTTATTGTTATTGTTCAGTTGTTTTAGTTGGGTCTGACTCTTTGTGACCCCATTTGGGGTTTTCTTGGCAGAGATACTGGAGTGGTTTGCCATTTCCTTCTCCAATTCATTTTACAGATGAGGAAACTGAAGCAAACAGAGTGAAATGACTTGCCCAGAGTCACACAGCTAGTATGTATCTGAGGCCAAATTTGAACTCAGAAAGATGAGTTTTCCTGATTCCAAGCCTGGCACTCTATCCACTGCACCCCCTAGCTGCCCCAAGCCCTTATAACCTCTTCTTTGACTATTACAATAGCTTCCTAACCTTTCTTTCTGCATTGTTCCAATTCAATTCAGCTCAACAAACATTTATTAAATGCCAACTGTAAGTTCCATGGTGATATAAAAACAAGTCTATGGTGATATAAAAACAAGTAATCCTGCCCTCAAGGACCTTACATTCTATATCCCTCATGTTGCTGCCAGACTACTCTGGTTATACCACTCCCTTGCTCAAAAATCTTTAATGGCTCCTAATTAATTTATTGAATTAATTTCAAACTTTACTGTTCTTCAGTACTCTCCACCATCTAGTACCCTCTTACCTATCCAGCCTTATTTCGTACCACTCTCCAGCAAATCACCTGTTCTCTAGTCAAACATAAATACTCTGGTCCTTCAATATATCCTACGTTGTCTCATCTTCATTTCTTTGATCATTCTGTTTCCCATGCTTGGAATGTAAGTCAACTCAATTCCTTGAGATTTTATTAAGTACCCACTATATGTCACACACCATATCCTTGGAATACAAAGTTCCTCCTCTGAGGATGCTTACATTCTATTGAAGGATATGTACACACACATACACACATATGTGTATGTATGTATATGTATATGTGTACATACACACACACACACACATATATATAAACAGATAGGTTAAATACAAAATAACTGGAGGAGGGAGAGAGTACATCAGTAGATATCTCAGACATAGGCAATGCTGATGCATGAGTTGGACTCAGAATTAACTAGAAAGAAAAAAGTGAGCTAGACCTCATTTGGAAAATTGTGTAGGTCTTTCAGTGATTCTCAGCTGCTCCCAGGCATGAAAAATCTGTCTTTTAAACACAAATGTGCTCCACTGGTTATCACTGATAAAGACTAAGCGAGGAAAAGTACCACACCAGGTACTCAAGATAACAGTGTTGGAGGGATTACAGTCTTGAAAGCATTGAAGGACCATTTTACAAGAGGTCCCAAGCAGGAGATGGTGCCCTCTAAATAAAAAAAAAGAATCATGGAAGATTTTTTTACCTCCAAAAGGAGAATGTTCTTTTTTCATACTGCCTTACTCATTTTTAAAGCCCAAATCAAGTGTCACCTCCATGAACAGTTTGCTTTGCTCTCAAATTAGTATCAACCTCTCCTTTCTGCCTCCATGGACTTAACATAGAGTTTATTTTTTTAATTCAATTTTTTTTTTAGTTCCAAATTTACTCCCTCATTCTTCCCCACTCATTTAGAAGGCAAGAAAAAGAAAGCCTATTACAAATATGAAAACTGAATTCTCACATTAGCCTTGTTGAAAGAAAAAAAAACAAAGGGGGGGGAGAAAGGGAGGTAGGAGGAAAGAAGGAAAGAAGGAAGAAAAAAGAGGAGGGAGGGAGAAAAGGAGGGAGGGAAGAAGAAAGAAGGAAGAGAGGAAGAGAGGAAAATAAACTTAAATCTGCACTCTAAGTCCATCATCAATTCTCTATGTGGAGGTGGAAGGCACGTTTTATCATGAGTTCTTTGGAATTCTTTTTGGTCATTGTGTTGATCAGAGTTCGTAAGTCATTCAGAGTTGATTGTCCTTATAATAGTGTTATTGTATTGTTCTCCTGGTTCTGCTCACTTCAGTTTGCATCACTTCATATCTGTCTTCCCAGGTTTCTCTGAAACCATCCACTTCATCATTTCTTATAGTACAATAGTATTCCATTACATTCATATAAGGGCAGCCAGGTGGTGCATTGGATAGAATGCCCAGCCTGAATTAAAATCTGGCCTCAGACACTTACTAGCTGTGTGACCCTGGGCAAGTCATTTAACCCTGTTTGCTTCAGTTTCCCCATCTGTAAAATGGGCATAATAATAGCCACCTA